CAAATGCTTGTATGCTTCTTCCATTGATTCTTTTGATATAGGATTAATTCCTCTTCCAGAGCCAGTGGAAAATCCAGATATTCCCAAAATATTATTTGATATATTATTGGAATTAATAGATGGTAATAATGAATGGGTGGGAACATCCAAACATTTATATGCTTTTTCCATTGATTCTTTTGATACAGGATTAATTTCTCTTCCAGAGCCAGTGGAAAATCCAGGTATTCCTGAAGGATTATTTGATATATTATTGGAATTAGTAGATGGTGATGATAAATCAGTAGGAACGTCCAAACATTTGTATGCTTTTTCCATTGATTCTTTTGATACAGGATTAATTCCTTTTCCAGAGCCAGCAGAAAATCCAGATATTCCCAAAGTATTATTTGACATATTATTGGAATTAATAGATGGTAATAATGAATGGGTGGGAACATCCAAACATTTATATGCTTTTTCCATTGATTCTTTTGATACAGGATTAATTCCTCTTCCAGAGCCAGTGGAAAATCCAGGTATTCCTGAAGGATTATTTGATATATTATTGGAATTAGTAGATGGTGATGATAAATCAGTAGGAACGTCCAAACATTTGTATGCTTTTTCCATTGATTCTTTTGATACAGGATTAATTCCTTTTCCAGAGCCAGTGGAAAATCCAGATATTCCTGAAGGATTATTTGATATATTATTGAAATTGGTAGATGGTGATGATAAATCAGTAGGAATGTCCAAAAACTTGTATGCTTTTTCTATTGATTCTTTTGATAAAGGATTAATTTCTCTTCCAGAGCCAGTGGAGAATCCAAATATTCCCGAAGGATTATTATTGGAATTAGTAGATGGTGATGATAAATTGGTGGGAACATCCAAACATTTGTATGCTTTTTCCATTGATTCTTTTGATACAGGATTAATTCCTCTTCCAGAGCCAGTGGAAAATCCAGATATTCCTGGAGGATCGTTTGATATATTATTGAAAGTGGAAGAAGAAGAATGTTCAGAAACATCTAAACACTCATATGCTCTTTCAAATGAATCTTTAGATATGTTCACAAGCTTTTTCCCAGATCCAGTAGAAAATTCCGAAAATTCCATATTACTGTTACTATTATTGTTGTTGTTATTGTTACCTTCATCACCATCACTGCTATTATAATTATTGTTATCATTATTATAATTATAAATATTATTGTTAAAATAATTATTATCATTATCATAGTTATCATTTAAAAAGCTTTCATTGTTGTTGTTATTAACATTATCATTATTCATAAAATTTTGTGACATACTAATATCATTGTTGTAATTGGTGTAGTTGTTGGTATTCTTATAAATATTATTAATAGGTGTTGTCATTGTTGTTTCTTGCTTCTATAAATAAAATTTGTTTTGTAAAATACGCGTAAAAGTATAAATTATGATAATCATTGATTGTTACACGCCTGATAAGCATAATGGACACTCATTTTATCACTTTGTGACAAAATCGACTGTTGATCTTTTTTATGTTGTGAAACATGTGAT